TATATATATATATACTTTGAACCTGGGAAAATTAGAATTATCAACTGGAAATATTTATCCCAAGAAGTGAGAATCCAGCATTAACCCTAAAAGAGCTGCAGGGTTTTGCTGTCAATGATGTGAAATAAATATCTTATTTTCTCCATATATCTTGACAAGGGGGAAGGGCTGCAAGACAGAGCTGCAAGACTGGATAAAAAAAAACAAAGGTAAGGTTTTAGTAATGCCTTGTAAGGATCCAGATCTGATCCTGACTGAGAATAAAAATAGATACAATCACATAAAAGGGGCTTTGGAGAAAATATCTCACAATTAATTAGACTTGGAGGACCTTTGAAAGGTAGAGGCATAAGAACAATATAGCCTTCTGCCAACTACAAGTCTTATGACTGAAATGTACTTCAAAATCATAATAACTAAAAATAATTAGGAACACATGTATGAAACTAGGTTAGGACATCTTTTTAAGGCTAAGCTTTCTTCCATTTTAAAGTTAAACTCTATTTAAACGGTGTTTCCATACCTGGAAAGGCAGCAAACTTCACTTTACCTTATTTCTATGTGGCCTAACATAACTAATGCTTTACTACCAGTTAAATACTTAAGATAGGTTTTTTTTTTTTTTTTTGTGAGCTAAGGTATGCATTTGTTCTGTCTCCAATATCCATAGGTCACGTGACACTTTGGACTGCGAGTGTCTGAGTAATGAATATTGTTGCCATGACTGCCTTCAGAACCCACTCATCTGTGGTTCTGACCCTATCAACCGTGCCCCAGACAGAGTAGCCAAAGCCCAGCTTTCTGCCTGGTTTATTTTGGCCCTTAATTGTGAGCAATGATAGTCTCTTTTTTATTTGTTTCCCAAATGTTTCTGCTGCCCTGCCTGCTCACCAGTTGTTGGCTATGAAAATCTGGCAATATCATGAAGATTTGACAAAATGTCTCTGGATTTCTGCCTGGCTGCATTAAGTCAATTGGCTCTGATCTTGAACATCCACCAAACTCTGACCTTTCTGTTACCTCTGGAACAAACAGAACTACAATACATCGGGGAAAGAAATACAAGAAGGGAGTCTGTGAAAGATTCTGGCTGGCTGCAGACGGCTTTTCACAGAGTGTGATTATCTTTGTTCTGCTTGGGTTTGGATGTCTTCAGAGACTGAAAACTGAAGATGGATTCTCACACACAGCCATGGCAAATGTCAATGAAGCGAAATATATGCAATGTTCAAAGACACAGAAACTACAAAGAAAATCACTTTTTCTTTGCCTCCCCAAATACATCACTTTTAATTCCTATTTTCACAGCTTTTACATGAAAAATAACAGTTTGGGAAGGAGATGTTATCACTGCTTCTCTTTACGGCAGGTTGTTTCTTAGATTTCTGCCCTGTAATTGCTCTAAAATAACCTCATATGCTCAGTGAACAGGGTGAAGGCTGCATAATGGATCCAATGGCACTTTTCTTCTAATATAACTACAATTCTTTTAACAGAGAAAACTTGTCGGAGTCCATGCATGATGCCAAACGAAGCAAAGAATGAATTCATCAGAAGCAAATAAGCGGTTTTAGAACAGTTTGACCCAACTCTAGAGCAAAGTCTGGTGATCTGAAAAGGGTAAGAGATGTTCTCTCAGTTGTAAAGATACATCAGAATTTTATTCCATTTATTTGCTTTTAAATGGGTTTTGATCCCCAAGTGACAGTAACTAGACACTAAAGATGGATTCAAACAGAGCCTTGGCAAATGAAGGAAATACTGCAAAGTGTTCAAAGGGACAAAGAAGTGGTACAAAACTGAAAATAAATAACAGTTATTGTCAGAAACGTTTAGATTACTTACATGGGGAAAAGCAAAAGACAGTTCAGTATTTCTCATCAAATTGTCCTGTGACAGAAACTTTTCATCACAATCCAAGGAACTTTCTGATATTTCTGCTTTAAAACATTCCCTTTATATATTTGTACAAAGGGACAAAGGATTAATAGAAACAGATAAAAAGAGAGAAAGGCTTTATATGTCTATTGTGTATAAAAAGCATATTGTCGGTATGAGCTACAGATACCTGGAGTTTCACAGTCTTTCTTATAAAACAGATGCAGAAGCAGCGCTGACTCTTTGTCTGCAGTGACGACCCCTGCCGCTCGGCACTGAGGGAGCACAAGGAAAGCAAAGCTCACCCTCCAGTACATTCTGAGAGGTGTGTTAATCTGGTGGACGTCCCGTATACGTGACGCCTTATAATAATTTTTAATTCCAGTTCCGTGCCTTCAATCAGGTCCCAGGTCATGTGACCCTCGAAGGCAGCGGGGTGTTGCACAGCATTAGTCAAAAATATCCCTCCTAATCTCGCACTCCGCCTGCTTAGTCATTTCTGATTTAGACGCTGTAATATCAGGTACTCCTTTGCACCTCAAATCTACATGCAGCTTGGCGCTGGCGATAAAACGTGTCTCAGACAGACACGTTATAATTTAACATGTTTTTTCTCTCACCAGATTGTCACATGCACCTCTCCTCTCTCCTTTTCTCCTGCTTAAAAAAGAGCCTTTAACACTTCTGTTTGCTTTTTCCTAGTCTACAGACCAGTTATTGTTGGTCCAAGGAGCTTGACAGCTGTTTGTGCTTCTAGATTCTCACTTCAGCCCTGCTAGGATCTTTATTTAATCACAGAGATGGAAGCAACACTCTAAATGAGAGAAGCTCAGCTGTAACAGCTAAGTTTAAATAAAACTGAAACATGCACATAGGCTTGAAGAAGCCCTTCGAAGATTTGGCCTATTTGTCACACTCACAGGTTTATTTTTATATTTGAGTCATTTAACCCACATAGATTGTTTATTTTTCCTCCTTCTGTGGCTAAAGCTTGAGTACAGTCAATAACCTAACAGAAAGAGCTGCTTGTGGCAGTGTTTTAAATAGATTAGATTGTTATATTTTTAACTACCATATATTTAGTTTTTTGCTTGCATAACATTGCACAACATAAGACTAGCAGTCTAAAAAAAAATCTTAAAAGCAACTTAAATCTAAGCTTAGTTTTGGTCCATTTGATATGTTTCAGGCCTGTAGCTCCACACATTTCCTGTGTGCTGTCTTAGATTCAATTTTACACTCATTTTTTTTGACAAAAATGGCCCATTTGGTCCACGTCCTTCCCAACGGGTAGCTGCAGAGCACCCTCTGGTAAAGGATGTAAAGTCCAGTAATCTTTTACTTTCCTAGAGGATCCTTTTAATTTTAATAAATTTATTCAGTGGTAAAATGAAATCCCTTTCTGTCCTCAAATGTAAACTTGCAAAGTTTGCTAAACTCTAATAGAACTTTTGATTAGAAGGGCTTAAAACTGAGCCTTTCGGCAATGGAACATGTTGAGTTCTGTTTGGAGTGAGGATGGGTTCCTTCTGTGTGATTATCATAAATTTACATCTGAATCCTGATCTCTGTTTGTTTATATCGCTGCAGATTCTTTCTTCTGGGATTTTTCTGCAGGAACATATGATGCCGCTGGGCATTTTCCATGGATCCGTTCGACTAGCAGACTAATACAGGTTCGGGAACCCCAGTTCAGAGTTTTATTCTGGGATTCCAATAATAAAAACACCTCATAGTCTGCGTTCAGGTCAGGGGACAACCTTTGAGGATGCAAAGTGTAGCCTGTTTAACTATTGAACCAATTTACAATGAACATATTTTGCGTTTAGCTTTAAACTAACAATCGATACATCAAAAAAGACACCCTGCTCACTATTGACAACAGTAGAGGATCCATAACACTGTGGGCCTGCTCCTAATACAAGCTGCTGACTATCTTTGTAAGAGAATTTGAATCCACACAGATTCTATTCTATAGATCTCCATGATCCTGTGATGTATCACTGGATAGGACTGAGTTTTACAAAGGCTCTCATTCTGGGTTTTGCCTGCACTGTAGATTTTGTTATGGCAACAAAGAAAATGTAATTACGGCGCTGTTTACATAACCATTAAAGATAAAGTTACTTGGGTATCATTTTGAAATGCAAATCCCAGGAGCTTTCCATATTTAAAGTTAACTATTTGCATTCTCTGTGTTCATGGACACTTTTATTTCTTTTCATCTAGCACTAAGTAACCCTTTTATGAAGGTCTGGGGGTACAGTATTAATGCTGTTCCTTTCTGTTACTGTAATCCCTTACTCTTCAACCGTGATATTGCTTCTCATGTTTGGTTTCTCACAAGAACATCAAATTTCAGCCTTTCTTTAACAATCAGACATTCTCACCATTACAGAGAAGGAGACAACACCTGAACATAGGTAGGAATGTACAAACATCACCTGTTCTTTAGGCTCTTGGTTAATTATTTGTGTATCATCACCATCATGGTCTGTTGAGTGATCTGATTGGCGAGCTGTTTTCAAGGCAACATTTACTCAGACATGTCACAGCAATGACACTCCTTTTTTCCCAGAGCTCCGAACACCTTAGGAGTTTGCATCTCCTTTTAAATATTACTTGTGTTGCCAGTCTGCACATATTTTTCTGCCTTTCTTATTCATGCTCTTTCACACAGTCACCTCTGTCTTGCTGTTGGTCACAAAGTAGGGCTGTGTGGGGAGGAAGTGCTGGCTGTGACTTTGGCCCCTGGTGCTGTGGAGCTGGTTTGGCTCCAGCACGGTACACTGGGGTCTCTTGTGCCCGTAGCTTTTCCTCCTGCCCACCGTCTCAGTCCCGTCCCAGGCCTTTATCCCAAACCCCATCGCATGCCCAGTTGCAATTGTGTTGGAGCTGTAGGCAAATGGACGGCCCATTGTGGCTGAACTTGAGCCAAAGGCGGTCTCGGCGGCCCTGGAGATGCCCAGGGAAGTGCCACCTGGCATGGTCCCCACCATATGTGCCAGGGAAGAAGCCCCAAGTCCTGGCGCCTTGCTACTGTGGCTGTGAGCATGACTGTGAGAGCTGTGGGAGCTGTGAGAGCTGTGGGTAGCGTGACTGTGACTTCCTTTGGGTTTGTGGCCATTCGGCTTGAGCCCCCCGCCCCCTACACCTGCTATGTGCCTCTCTGATGGGAGGGTTGAGACAGATGAGATGCTGGGCATCTCTGTCACGTAGGTGGCCACAGGCTCCGGAGTCAGTGGACCTAAAGAGGTCATTGGAGTCATAGAGGTCATCTGGGAAAGCGAGGTCATCTGAGGCATGGATGTCATCGCTGTCATTGATGTCATTGGAGTCATTGAAGCCATCTGCGCCATGGAGGGGTTTATGGGATTGGAGCTCATAGGGTTTGAAGCCATGGTGTTGGTGGCCATTGGTGGAGTCATTGAAGACATGTTGCCCATGGAAGGTCGGGAGTTGCCCATTGGCTGGAGAGGAAGGCCACCTTTTGTTGGCAGCTCCACCATTAGCCGTCGCTTGTTGTAGATTTCACCATTGTACTTGGCAGCTAGCAAGAGAGCAAAAGAGAAAAGCTGTTTGAAGTAAACACAAAAAAGATTTGCTGAAGATTTTACCTGAAGCTTAGCTTCTAAGGCAGAAAGTACTATTCATAGAACAAGAGAAATAAATAATTTTGATAAAAGAAAAACAAAAAAAAAATGAAATAAAATGAAATGAACAAACATTGCCTCCAAAAACAACACCATATAACAAACAGGATATATTTCATCATTTTGAGTCAGCCTCTTAAAGAAAATATCCTATGCTAATGTCTGCAGGAAAAGAACCTATTGTCCCCCTGAAAGATAGAGAACTGGCAAAGAAAAAAGAAGCTTTAAGTAAAAAATCAGGAAAGAGCATGCTTTCAAATATTTCTAATGATTAGTGGTGGATTAATCTCACTGTAATCTTTGAAATAATCTAGATGAATCTAGATTAAAAGTTCTCATTTGAATTCTACCAAAGAAATTCATGATATGCTTGTGCTGCATAAATAATAACTTGTTCAATAAATTTTCCCTGAAGCAAACCTAGCATCTTTATTATTACATCCATGTTTATCATGTTCTCAGATGCAGCCGGAGTTTCAGGGTCAGACATCATTAATGACCACACAGATCCCTTCATTTTCGAAAAAAGTACATCAATAAACAACTTTCTTTGCCACAATCCTTTTCCAAAATCAACAACTTTGCTTTCTGTAGTGATCAGTTGTTTCTCTGCAGCACAGCGGTGCTTTCAATGATGAACTCAATCAGCTGATTTTTACTCACACTGGCTGCTTTCTTTGTTTGTCTGCGAGTGATCGACTTGATCCACCAACCTTGTGATTTTCTTCAAGTCATCAGTGAAGTTTTTCTACTTGCTATGGCTACTTTTGCAACCTGATAGGTTCCCAGATTATTTTTTAGGAGGAGTTTTTCGACTCACTCAAAATTGAATCACTTGCAGAGAGTTTTCTTATTTCAGAGGGTGTTTTCTTTACTTATCAAAATAACCAAAATAATCTCCAAGTTGACTTACAAAAACTTTTAATATAAACTTTAATTGGTGGTAGAAAAACTGTTTCACCCTTTACCAAACAACCAGATCAATGGCTACTTCTGCTTGTTAATCACAGCATGATGAGCCTGACAAGGAGGAGGGTCAAATAAGATAAATAAATAACAATAGATCTACCATTAACATAACCTAGATCTGAAACATAAAAAATTTAGCAAAAAAGAAATGTATCTAATTCTGAAAAGGCTGCAACAGCAGGTGACGTTCAATGTGGTAATTTCACTGTACGCCTACACAGGTTCGAAGACTGATTCATTCTTGCCCCCAGATATATGTCCGCGCTAAAATATGGTGAAAGTCACCATTAGAATAGACCCAGCTACCAACCCAACTATGAGAATAGATTAACAGCGATATTTTTTTTTATCGTCAGATAAGAGTCTGGCCTTAACGCAGCCGATAACGGCCCACCAATACTAATGATCATTAATGACTAACAAATGGAGATTGTCTTCTTTGAGAAATTAGCTTGAATCAACAGCTTGGAAGCATTTTTCTAGCATGAAGAACTTGTTTATGGACACAGCACTGAACCCGAACAATATTTAAATCTAAACTGTGAGTGGGACACTTCAAAATCTTAATTTCTTATTAATGAATTTCTCATTTTCATTTTATGTTGTTTATCTAAATATATTCACGGTGATTTTCATTGTCTTGGTGTAGATCCCAAGAAAGTTTGACCAAAATGTCATACATTTAAGGATTTAAGGTTTTCTGATTGAGCTCACTGTAACTGGCATGATGTTCTGATTCTGAAGCCCTGTGTTTATTTTTCACCAAATGTAACAGCATGCTTCTGTCTTATCCAAATAATTTGTTTTCCTAAGTCTTGCGCATCTTCAATATGTTTTACTGCATGTTAAATAATAAGACAGTTCTTTGTGATATTTTAGGTATTCAGGGGTTCTGCAGAACTCTATATGTCTTTAGTACTTTTATGGCCTCTTGGAAAAGTTCTTAATGAGCTCTTGGGGTCATTCTGGTAGACCAGCCTTTCCTGGCTAACTTCTCCACTGTTATGCATTAAGTTTGCTCCAAGTATGTATCATAGTTCTCACCATGGTTCCCTTGATTTCCAAAGTCATTGAAATTGTTTAATTTAAATTCTCAGACTATTCTACTTCAGTAACTTTTCTCATTTATGCGTACATTTATCTAATCAGGGCATCCTTCGCTATTTTGTTTCCTGCACTTCACCAACTTCCAAGGTGCATGACAAGATAAGGTGAAAACTTCAGCAACACATGTTTTGGGTTTGTGGTCTTCTCAGGACTGTTTATTAAATCAACACATAGGCACTCACCCAGCCGTGGCTAATTCAAATAAAAGTGGTTAACCTAACTTTAAAATAGCTTAACAGAGAAAAATAAATCCAGAGCTAACCAGCAGCACATAGCTAGCCTGAGAACTTAATAATGTCTATGATGACGGATGGATATATACTGCAGGGCAGGCTGTAACTTGTTGCCATTATGCCGTTAACCTAGAAGGAGAGATTAGAGGTGGCTTAGGCCCAGACGCATGATGAATAAAATAACTGAAAATAAAGTTTTTTCCCTTATTAAATAATAAAAGATCTGTTCTAGTCTTTAAAAAAGTACAAATCAGGAAGAATCTGTTGATTGGTTGATCATTTTTTACAGCTCTGTAGAATATCAGAATAAAGTAAGATTATTCTGTTTTTTTTCTTTCTTTTTTCTAAAAACTCTGCCTCAGAACAGATTCAGTGAAAGTCTCACAAAACACAGTTTGTTGGTATGAGTATCTTCTTTTCTCAGTAGGCGTCTGTGTTTGTGTGTGTGCTTAGCCTCTTAGCGGTCAGCTTTAAAGCCTGATATTTATTCCTTCCTCTGTCAGTTAGTGTCACCAAGCTACAGTCCCTCTTATCTCTGCAAAATGTGACCTTTTTCCCCGTCCGATCCTCGCTCAAGTCAACTCATTACTCTTTAGCTCCTCGTCGCCTTCCTGTCCTTGAAGATAAAGTTAACACACTCAGTGAGTTTGCTTTGCTGCTCTAACTATAAATCTAGTTTATCACTCTGTGAGCGAGCGAGCGAGCGAGGCTACGGCAGAGCCTGGCTCTGGGTGAGGATAGGCGGGGTGCAGAATCTCACCCACAGAGTCTCTGCCAGACCACCTCCTGGGATCAAACTTGCTCAGGCGACAGGTGAATCAATCTGGAGGTAGTCAGCTCGACGGTGCAAACATCCAGCAGAGTACGTGAGGGGAAATATAAAACATGCTGCTTTGCTCTGTGGGCTCGATGTGCCTCTGTGTGGGAGAGGCAGCAACCCACAGAGACAAACAATATGCATGAGGAAGAAAAAAGAAACCTCTGTTTCTCTGAAGCCAATCAGTGGCAGACAAAACTTCATTAGGGTTAGAATTGGTGTAAACTGCTTTTTCTCAGCTTGTCAGAATATGTGAAGCCAGAGCTGAGAAGGATTTAGATTTAAACGTGTGTCATCACATTTTTTTTCACTTTTTACAGAGGTTGTTGTCCTTGTTCATTTCAGTGGGAATCTGCAGATTAATTGCTTAAATTTCCATTAATTAGAAATTCCTGACTTTTTACCTTCCTTTTCATCTCCCCAATGCAAACCTCTGTATTCAACTAATACATGGTTCAATGACCCTTAACATGGTTTGGTATGCAATTGTAGGATTTGGGTTTAAATGTGAAGCCTGTTTTTCAATCTGTTAAATTTAGTTTTATAATGAACACTCCTAAATTATTCACACCCTGTGAATAATCTAGCTATGCTGAAGGAAGGACTAATATAGAAGGTATGGTGGAGGAAAGGACATTGGCTGTGTCCGAACGTCTGCCCTAATGACTATATAGTGGCTCGGCCATTTTAAATGATTGTCTAGAGGATGAAAAAGTAGTGGACTCAAAATTTCCCACAATGCCCCTTGAAAAGTGGTGATCATCCATGGTCAAGAGTCGAGCAGATATATCCCAGAATGCTTTGCAATAGCTCCCCTCGCAAAACATTCTGGTGATTTGTTGTCTCAGCGGCCCGTGTCCGGAGGCACCGTGTGCGGAGGCTGAATCACGTAACCAACGGGGAGCGAAAAGTAGTGATCATCTGTCTGAGCAGTTAGTTAACTGAGTTCACTATAAAGTCCACTATACAGTCCCCGCTCTATATACAGTAGTGATTGAGAGATTTTTTCATGATCTACCCTGATAGCTGGCTCACCTGACAAACCCTCCCTGCTCTCTAATTATGATTCGTCCTGGCTGTTCTCCGCTGAGCATTTCCTGGATCTCAGAACTGTCCGGTTCTGAACTGTTTGCCTGAACTGGCTCGGACTCCTGCCTGCTCACTGAGGTTGATGCATCGGGGGCAGCTCACCTGAATACTGGGTCCTAAATTCTGGGTTACTTGACAGATTTAGGGCATAGAGCGGACGTTTGGACACAGCCACTGTGTGTAAATAAGGAAGCAAGGCCGTTCTCCCAAATACTAGGGAGATATAAAAGAGGGAAAATTGTTCTATTTGTCTTTATAAACTATTATTATATTTTCTTGTTTATTTTCTAAAAACGAACATGAGTCTGAAAACTGCATAATTAATTTCACAGAATGCAGTTTACAACATTTTATTTTGTATATTTAATAAATATTATTTATCTTAAAAGCGTCTCTCGAAAAATTAAAATATATTTTTTCTATTTAAAATGGATGGAAAGTGAACCCATTATCTGGGTTTAACAAAATATGGCAATAAATTTAGATAAATTTGTTGGAAGTAATGTTATATGAATTGTAGTATTTTTTCCACCACATCATATGCACATAAATCACATATTAACATGTAATTGTTGTGAAAGACTTCTGCCCTTTGCTGTGTTAAAAATCTTTGCCTGTTCATATAGATGCTTACTAAATATAACAAGCTAATTTCACTGTTATATAAGCCAAAAATACTGTTGTTTCTGTAGAAGTAAAAGCACAGCTAAGGAAAGATTAAAAGTTATATTTTTGTTTTTTTGTTAATTACAGGGGATTTACCATGAAAACTCAGACAGTTTGAATGTACTGTATAGAAGCATTGACTGTCATGAGATATAGCAGAACATTTGTCAGAAAACAGGGACCATAATTGGTCATTTGTACTTGCAGAGAGACAAGTAGTGAATCCAAGAGACCATTAGTTGGTTCTTATATGCAGCTTCACTTAGAATCCAATAAAGTGACCTTATATAACAGTCCAGAGGGACAGAGGAGTTGGTTACTGATTGACAGAAGTGAGGCTCATCAGACCACAGGAAAGCAATGGGGGGCAATTAAAGAGTGGGGGGTGCTGATCCCAGGGCTGCCTGCAATCAGGTCAGAAGGAATAAAAATACTGTTCCGCAGACAAAGTTTCTCACATACAGCATTTCACAAAAGTTTCCAGTTTGTCTGAGTGCACCCTGGTCGCAATGAGATATATTTAGGTGATAAAGAGGAGGCCAATTCTTCTTAAACATTTTATTCATTTTTTTTTTATGCCACGTAACTTTTCAGCATTGCCTTTTGTTGTCTGTATCGTAAAAATTAATTAAGGTTTGGAGTTATAGGAGCTTTTTCAGAGCAAGGTGCTTCTTAATGAAAACACATCCATAAGTCCTGTTCAAGCCTGAAGGAGAGATCTCCCTTCATTTACCAAAATGGATGTGAGCAGCCATAGGAACAGATCACAATTAGCTCTCAAATGATTCTTTGATGAAGGATATGGAGCATAGCAGATTAGGGAGAAAAAAAGGCAGATGGATGTCGAGGTTAAAAAAAAAGTGGCCGACTGGAACGGACGATATCAGAATGAGAAGGGAAGTGCAAACAGGTGAGGGTAGGGAAGCAGAAGGGAAAGAGAGAGGAAATCAAGTCAAAATATTAAAATTATGAAACCACACAGCCAGGTATGGAGGGAGAGGTGAATAAAAGATGAGAAACATTCAACATTTAAAACAGCATGGCTGAAGAAGTTGGTTCAAAAGAAGCCAGAAAAATATTGGCAGAATTTACTTTCAAAGAGCTGCCTGGGCGCATCTTGATGCTCCAGAGTTTCCCATTTAAAATAATTGTCTTTTTGTAGAAAAGACACATCAGGGGTGCAGCATTTTTTTTCCCATTAATAAGAAAAAAAAAAAAAGAAAACTTGCAATAATTTCCAGGCATTTTCAGATGAGTTAGATTGATTTTTGGGTCCTGCAGGCAGTCGCTGTCTGCACCACCTTCAGCTCAGACTCTTTCTCATTTTCTGACTATCTCAGTATCCAAGACAGCCTGAGGAGCACTAAGTTTGCCTGCTGCATTTTCTGTTTGTCATTTTTGGCAGTTTGTCACCAGCTTTGAGGAAATTTAACACGACTCCTTTTTACTTCCCATCATCACTTCAGTATGTACATAGCAGCATCAGCCTGAGGTATGCTCCGCAGCAGACAGGTTACTGCCAGGACTAATGTCAGACCCAATGCAATCTAGTTAGAGCTATTTCCCTACTAGTTGGATGCAAAAACAGAGAGACTTGAATTATATAACTAATATGTACAGACACTCATAAAATCAGTCATCCCATTCAGCTGTAAGGCAGTTTGTCACATTAAAAAATAATAGTGTTTTCTTTTTTTCCTGTAAAAATCTGAAACGTCTTGATCTGATATTCATCCCCATTTACTGTGATAGCTTTAAATTAATAAACCCAGTAGAATCAGATGCTGTTATGTCCCCCAATCAGTTACCAGCATCCAGATGTGAATAATTGGATCTGAGTCTACCTGCAGTTTTTTTCTGGTTCTGACTTTGAAGGTTTTTAAAGATCATTAGAGAACAATCAGCATCAGGTTGAGAGGAAGTTCTGTTTAAAGCAAAGACAAGTAAAGACAAGTATACGTTACATTTCCTGTCCTCCATTATGCTTTTTGTAGTGAAACTTGAACCTGATAACTTCTTGTCCTTTACTTACTGACAAACATTTATTTTAGATTTGTCCCTGTTACTCAGGTATCATCACCCCCTATTTTCTCCTGAACAGAGAGATTTCCTTCATTTAACAAACTGCTCTTCCTAGAGCTTGAACAGCCCCCGTCTGCTGGGCTCATATGAGGCAAGATGAAGGGAAGTCAGCGTCTCACATCAGATAGGGAGGTTTTCCACTAAAACCCATCCCGCTTCTCATTTTTTTCTCAAACTCTTCTGGTCGTTCTTCACTCTGATCTATTGCAGCTTCTGTCAGTGCTTAAAAAAAAATAGAAAAAATGGCATGACCTCCTCTGCAGTGATGATTTTTCTCCTTGTTTTTTACATGTGTGAAACAATGAGGGAAGAGCAAATCCTTTGTTGTTTGATCTTCAAAGCGTAACATCAGGATGTTCTTCAGTGGTATTTTACTTTAATACAACTAAAATTATACAGAAAACATCCACTCTTTTTATTTACTAATCTTAGAGGAATAATAGAAACATGCTTGTCACCACTGATTAGTTTTGTCTTAATGTGAGCTTTAAAAACTCTCAGCTCTGGTCTTAATATGTAACGGTTTCTGCTACAACTACTGCAACTTACGTTATTAAAGGTAAAGTGGAGGATTTTCACAAATGTTTAAAAAGACCCGCCCTCTCCACTTTAAAAGAAAATGCACATGCACAACCCTGTACCTGCTCCAGAGAGGGAACGCCTATTAAACACGTGCGAGAGCATGCACCAGCCCATTTTTCCTTGTGCACGCTCTGTTTAAAGTTGCTGTTTGCATCCCTCATACAAGCTTACTTCCAAAAAGAAGATTTTAAAAACTGGGATGAGCATTGAATTTATTTATTTGTTTAATTTTTTTACAGCACTAGTGGCTTGTTTTTTTCTTTCTTTTTGTTTTGTTTGTTTTTTCGACAGCCGAGTATAGGAAAGGGGGTATGAGAGAGGGGGAGAGACATGTGGCAAAGGACCGCAGGTTGGATTCAATCCTAGCTGGACTAAAGGCTGATTTATACTTCGAAACCAGGTCCTCTGCGTAGGTGTCGCAGTGAACAAACAGCATGCCCGCCCCCTCCACAGACACTCCGCTGCACCTCACCCAAATTGTAACTGACCACATAAAGTGCCACAGACAGGAGGCCGGCTTGTTTTGTTTTTATGACCCAAATTGCGGAAAGCAACTCATGCAGTTTGATCAGCTAGAAGAGAAGAGCGAGGTGTGCAAGAACACTGGGACCCTTTTTCCACCTGGATCCCCGCTCTATTTTCGCCATCATGTCCCTCTGTTGTCGGACTAAACTCGCCCACACTTCCTCATCGCCTTGGCCGTATCTAGGCCCATAGCGTATAGCACAGACCACGTTTCAATATTGAGCATAAATCAAAAATGTCTGCGTCAAGGTCACTGCGATACACTGCTGCAGGAGTATAACTAGCGCTTAAGGCCTAGAAACGTGGGTTGTGCTTGCTTACCACTGTGCAACCGAAGCAAGCTCCATATCACCAGAATGATTGACAATTAGGAGGACCACTTATTTTGATGATGACTTGGAAAAAGAACATCCTCCACTATACCTTTAAGTTTTAGCCTTTTTTTTCCTTCCACCAAACTTTACATGTGACAAAATGCAGTCAGGGAGCTTTAAAACCTAGATAAAGTTGGGGGATTACCAGACAGAAATGTATGAGTGTCTCTGCTGTGCTTTACACCACATCATCTGATAGAGATATGATTGCACTTTGTGACATATAGGCTGACAAGTTACTTTCAGAAGAATGAATCTAAATTGCATAAGAGGTTTGGAGGACTGTACTGAATCTTAAGAAATATGCTGACCTGAGCCCCAAACACTGAAACCACTCTGGGATTTTATGAGGCCTCCTAATTCTTGACTGGGTTACTTTTAATCATTTCTTTTGACAAATTATTTGAAAAACATACTATGTCATGTGTGAAAAAAAAGATAAAAATAAATAAGATTTGCTTTATTTACTTGTTTGTCTGATAAAGTCAAGTATCCAAATACTCCCTTCTATCTCTCAGTATTGAGATATTTGCTCAATACTGATCTGAAGAGTAAATCAACCAAAATCCAGGTGACCTGACATGCATAAATAAGCAAACACAACCTGAAACATTCATGCCAGCATCAGACGCTACAGGTTGTGAAATATGATGGCACTTCGAAATAAACCTATAAAAAATCAAATGGCTCATCAACATTTCCGGCATGCACTGAGCAGTCTGAAAGCTCCACTAGCAGTTTGTGTCTTACAGCGCGTTCTGGCTGTGGCACAATCGATTACACCTGTCAGGTCAGCCCTGCAAGACTCCGACAGAAGAATCACATCCCTGCTTCAAACCTAGAAGAACTACTGGCTGGCCTTTATGTTCGGGTCATAAAACCTTCAATAAATTGTACTGAAAAGAAAAAAAAATCAATGAAAGTCTAATTATGATGTTATTCCATCTCTTTACAACAACAACTAGTCCTTATTTGTTGTATCAAGACACTAAAGTTTATGCCCTCCTTAGTGTGCTGATGGAGAGATGTTGACAAAAAGGTAGCACTCACCTACAGCCTTCAGGGAGGCATACTTATTCAGATCCATGTTTTGCTGCTGTTGCTGCTGCTGTTGCTGCTGCTGCTGCTGTTCATAGACTTGAGCCAGCTGGCTGAGGGAAGGGTAAGGGTGCTGCTGGCCAGCATTGGAGCCCGCTCCCACATTGTTGTTTATCTGGCCACCTTCTGTGGACGAGGACAAAGGACGAAGGACAGGGTTACCACCATGTTTAAAGCCTGTCTGGTATTGGCTGCTGGACAAACAGTTTGGAAAAGGACAGCGTGACCGGGAACAACAATAGGGGATAACCCCTAACGTCACTTACATAACCTTCCCCTATTGAAGCAGGTCACATGTGGTTTGAATCATAGACTAATGCCATCATTTTCTGTCTGCAGATTATTGTTCTACCTTAAATAGATCTGGAAACAATCCATCAAAAAGCATGTGATATGTAACAGAGGAAACAATTTTCAATTTAAACCAGTTTTTATCAGCTAGATTACATGACTTCATGATTTTAAGCCACTGATCATTTAAATTGTATGTGATGATTACACTGAATTCATGTGAAGAGGGAATCTTTAACTTTAAAGTAACATCTATTATAGTAAATATTCACCAAAATGGTTATATATATGGAAGTTTACTGGAGCTATTTAACAACATGTATGTGTACATACGTATAATTCAATGATCTCCACTTAATATAAACAATGAGCTAAATAAGATCAAATACAGTTAGCCTAATGAACTAATAAGAAAAAAGCTCTTTATTAGTGGTAAACTATGCTGCATCCTAAAGAAGCAGTAAAAAAATATTTTTTTTTTCTAATGTAAGAAGAAGGAATTTAGGATGCTCTGACCTATAGCTCAGACTCTTAACGTTGAGTTTGAAGAGGAAACAAGGAAGAAAGCCCGGCTTTCAGAAAAAAAAAACACTCGGAGATCTGAGAAACTTGTCTGAAAATAAAGGGAAAAAACTATTACAATACACAACTGATTTTGGAGGTATTTGTAAATAAAATTCCTCCAACAAACAGAACAGAGCACAAGAAAATATCATCTAATAGTTCTTCCTTTATTATGGGAGAATAGATATGATGATTGGTCATTTGCTTCTAATGGAAGAATAAACTAAATGTCAATAAGGCTACCAGTCACAGAGAATAATATCGTCCTCTGTCTTTATAGGGCTTTCACTGCTGTATTAAGGAGAACTCCTTCACGTCTCCCTCCGTGGCTGCAGGGATTTAAACAATAGGACCTTTGTTCTTTTTGCTATCATTTGGTTGAGCTTGTGTTTCTCCAACATATTAATTTTCTTATAGGTCCTGCTGCTAAAGCGATGAAAGTATAAATTCTCATCTTACATAGCCTTCAATCTAATTAAAGTAATATTGCCATCTAATGGTGTTGCTTTTTTAGATTTCCGTTGTTGAACATGCTTAATATAAAAGATGTGTATGTACAAACACTCCACATATTTTAGTTAGTGCTTTACATTAATCATTATATTTTCTTGCAAAGCTAGTCATACCCTTTACATTTTTCAAATTTCGCCATTTTGCAGCAATAACCTTTGATTTATTTTGAGTAGGTTTCATGTGATAAAATGACACCATGTGTGAGGCGACGGGAAATGATTCATAGTTTGATCATCAGAGGAAAAAACACATTAAAAAAGTCCAAGGAACACAGCAGACAGTTCGGGGAAGAAGTTTTGGAGAAGTTTGAAGCAAGAAGCAGCCAAGCTGCACATAAAACTCAAGAGGAGCTGCACAGATCTACAGCTAAGGTGGAAGAAACCCTCTGCCCAAAAATAAAACATATCATTGAATGTGGTGTGATTATCCATTGAGATATATTAAGCAGCAGATATGTTTCCACTGCAAAGTGAGTCTGTAGATACTGGATTGAAGGGAGAAAGACCTCCGCCATCAGGGGCATCAGAACTGTAACCCTGTGGATCTCAGGCATTCTAATTACAGCTGCAGTGATCACACTTTATTCTTAGTGGACATGAATAGATGCAGCGCTAACATCAAGAAGCCCCTATCGCCTTTTCTTGGAAGAAGCTCATATTTAAAAGATTACACATTACATCCAGAATGCATTGAAACTGGATCTTTCTCTAGGCCATAGCTTGGCCCAGTTGAGTGATCTGATTGAAGAAATGCCAACTGACTACTCAAACAGCAACTGGACTTAGGACGGAAAAATCATTCACTTAAGAAATAATGAATGATTTATGAAGACTACTTTTCTAATCCTCTTATTTTATCATCAAATTTCTACTGCTTTGACAGCCCAAAGTCTAAACAAATGGAAACCAGATGCTTGATGATGAGATAAAAACACCTGAGATTGTGGTTATCCTCCACATCAATTGAATGTAGGGATGATTTCCCCAAAGGGCAGTCATTCCAGTTAGGAAACAATTAACGATTCAGTTTTTGTCTTTTTAGTAGGGTAGGGTAGTGCAATGAGCCGACTTCATCATCCCAATCTCAGCTGCTGCATTAGGTGGAAATAACTGATGACAGGAAAACAGTAAAAACTCTGAGCTTTGACATGAATTAAAAGCAAAATTTCTGCTATAGCTTTCGTTTTTATAGAACAACATCCATGACAGGGATTTAGGAGTTCTGTGTTCTGGTTACGTATGCTACTTTCGATCATAAACCCTATTTCTAATGCTATTTCCATAAATTCCCAATATTGCCAGGTGGTAACAATAACTTTAATAACACTAAATTTGGCTCCCCGTTTCACAGCTGCACAGATAAACTCATTAATGTTTCCAAACACTACTTTTAAATAGTTCATTAATGCAGCTTCCCTATTAAAACCCTAGTAACTGGTATCCATTGATCTTACATTTTTTTCACAACAGATACAGTTAAAAAGCTAAATAAAAGTCTCTTTAAAGTTAATTGCAACTATGATAATTTTAAAAGTATTTTGTTTGCAAAATTGTGTTCTTCCTGAGAAGGACCACAGAAAATTACCGTGGCTGAGGAAAAAGGTTCCTCATCCCTAATCCCTCAAACTGAGAGCACCCTGAATATTTTTTGCTGAATACCCTTGTAGAAATTGTGAGTTTATCCATCATGCTATTACATTTCTTGTTTACATTTCAGATCATCTAGTGACTACCAGATACCTCAGTATTTTAGTGTGTGATCATGTATGTGTGTAAGTGTTTTGGTAATGGATTCTGTGGGAAGAATCAGATGTTTTACATTTATTCTAAAATAGTGGTTTCATTACTGGCTAATAAAGAGTGGAGGTGCAAAAATGGGTCTGCAGAGCTACATGATTTAAAATGAAATGTTCTGCGGCTGTACTGAAAACATAATTACAAAATCCTGTATTTAGATAAAAGAGGTCTCTAACTCAGTGAATACTTTCTGCTAAAAGCTCTGCTTGATTATTATCTCAGTAAAGTGCTTTAAGATGATATGTGTTGTGCATTAGCGCTATATAAATAAACCAAATTGAACGGATTTGAAACTGAATTGATTCATAGAGATGGATGGAGACAGAGTGATGGGGAGTGTAAAGAAACAGGTGTAAACAAGCTTGTTAGAGGAAGCTATCTGAATCAGGTTTTTCATTTAAAGCTCCTTTTAAAGGTGACCCCTTGGCAGCCTTTTTTCAGCTGAAACACCTACAGATTTCTCTTGTTGTTGTTTTTTTTGTGTGCTTGAGCAAATAGACACAAACCAGTTGGCCAGATCTTTATTTCATTGAATTTATGTAAGTTGTCCAGAAGCAGCAAAGATGTCCCAAACCATCACACTACCACCCCCATGTTTGAATTTTGGTACTCTGTTTGAAATGTGGCATTAGTTTTACAACAGATGTATCTGGACGCAAATCTTTTAAAAAGGTGTGGGGGCTTTTGTTCCTTTTTTGAGTCAGCAATGTTTTTCACCTTAGATCTCTCCTATTAGGAAGACATGTTCTGCAGAGTGGTTAAATCATGACCTGTGACTTTAGATAAGGCAGTGAGGCCTGCAGAGCTTTGGATGTTGTTCTGATTTCTTCTCTTATATACAAAAATGGAGCCTAGATGGACCCACTTCCAACACAGGCCAATCAGTTATGAACCACCTCTCCACTAAAGCCAATCAGCATCCAGAGTTCATCTTAGAGTCGTAGGGAAGCGGCTGTTCCAACGGTTGCAGTTCCGAATTCTGCTGAGTGAGGTCAGAGGTCGTGGATGAGTCTCCTCCGTCATGCATTTTTTATTTAGAGGAGGAAAGCAGGGAGGAAGTTGTTGTGGAAGAGGACACCAGGGAGGCAGAAGCTTGGTTTGATGTAGAAGGCTTACAGCCATACATGTTTGAGCCCTTGCCTCGCAAAGCTGCCAGTTCTGTTAGCTCTACGCCTGCTGAAGACACAGACGTCCATCCCCATGAACACTGGGACGGAACTCAATGGGAAAGTAAATTATTCTTATTTCAACCGTTGCGTATATTAGCTGCGACATATGAATCAAAATGCTATGACCGAAAAAATGCGACAGACAGATAACTGTTGATATATAATTGGCTGAATTTAGGTGTACAAGCTGACATATAACTAACTGGCCTGCATAAGATAACGGAAAAATACAAACAAACAGATTTTAAGACAGGATTTGTTTTTCAAATAGAAATTTTCTAACTTTTGGGACAATATAGTCTGATAAAGAGTACATTTATATACATGTTTAAGCCAGAATGATTTGACATTTAAATATGACTTCCCCACAACTTTAAAGGGTCTCCAAGTCAACATCTCAGTCTGCTACCCAAGCACAGGCAGTGATCAATAAAGTACTGTCTACCTCTCATGCTTGCTCACCATGGACAGGTTTATGCAACCTGTGTTATCCAAGCTGGGCCTCCATCTTCAGGTTCCCTAGTCATGCACTAGCATCAGCTCACACAATCCTCTGGATCTCTCCATACAGCAGCCATTGGCTGACCAACTTCATCCATCTCCACTCCACCACCAGTTTGAGGTACAGAACAGGGATGTTTCCCTGTTCATGGATACCAGAGCCAAATTCAGCACTGTTTCCTGCCAAGGTCTGAATGCCAAAAACTAAAGTAATTGTGTCAAGAAAATTCTTCTAATTGTCTTTTGTTTCTGTGTGAGTTTTTCAGATTGAACTGTTTGATGAAGAGGTACA